GATGGGATGGGATGGGATGGGATGGGATGGGATGGGGTGGGGTGGGGTGGGGTGGGGGGATGGGATGGGATGGGATGGGGTGGGGTGGGGTTGGGTGGGGTGGGGTGGGATGGCATGGGATGGGATGGGATGGGATGGGATGGGATCGGATCGGATGGGATGGGCTGGGATGGGATGGGATGGGTGGAGTGGGGTGGGGTGGGGTGGGATGGGATGGGATGGGGTGGGGTGGGGTGGGGTGGGGTGGGTGGGATGGGATGGGATGGGATGGGATGGGATGGGATGGGATGGGATGGGATGGGATGGGATGGGATGGGATGGGATGGGATGGGATGGGTGGGGTGGGGTGGGGTGGGGTGGGGTGGGGGTGGGGTGGGGGTGGGGTGGGGTGGGGTGGGGTGGGGTGGGGTGGGGTGGGGGTGGGGTGGGATGGGATGGGATGGGATGGGATGGGATGGCATGGGATGGGATGGGATGGGATGGGATGGGATGGGATGGGGTCAGGTGGGGTGGGGTGGGATGGGATGGGATGGAAGGGATGGGGTGGGGTGGGGTGGGGTGGGGTGGGGTGGGGTTGGGATGGCATGGCATGGGAAGGGATGGGATGGGATGGGATGGGATGGGGTGGGGTGGGGTGGGGTGGGGTGGGGTGGGGTGGGGATGGGATGGGATGGGGTGGGATGGGATGGGATGGTGTCTGAAACATGGCCTGGTTTCCCACAAATTGTTTCTTGGTTTCCCTCAAGTGTGCTTTGTTGGTTCCCCTAAAACCCCCAATGATTGGTTTCCTTGATTGGTTTCCCTCTTCTTTCGCTTACCAAGCAAGTCTCCATTTGGTTGATCCTTCAAGCGAACCAGACCAAAGGGCAGTCACAGGGGATTAATGGGGATGTCTCTTGGAAAGGTGACCTATTTTGCAGGGCCTTTGAAATGGTTTCATTTTGAGTAGTTCTTTTGATGTTTGGACTGATTGTCGGTTAATCATCATGTCCAGGGCCGTGTCGTGGACACTTCGCGCCTGTTTGTCAACCACGACCTTGCCGTGAAGACTTGAGTCCTACAACATGACCAGTTTCTCAAGCCGGGCTCTCATGGTGACCCTTGATTCAGAAACTTGGGTCCTACCGAGAAGTGGCAGGCTTTCTTAGCAGGGGTCAACACTAGGCCACTGGCATGTTTCCCAACATCGTCATTTCTTGACTAGCGTCGGGTAGACTGATTCCCCAGTTGATATCCCCAAAATGGAGAGCCAATTTTTCCGGGTGCGTTTGACTGGAGCTGTAGCCAGCTACATATTGACGTGCTGAGGGAGGCGAACGTATTCACCTACCAGACCAGCCTGACGCCCACCATCGAGCAAGTTTACACGCTGCCGCTCGGCTTCGAACCTTCGGTAGACTACGCGTGTGCACGAAGAATGACCAGACAGAACTGCGAAAAGGGTCCTGCTAGGTCCTCAAAAGGATATGGTTCGACACATGTTTTCTTGGAGGGGTTCCATGTGAATCTGCGGGAGAGTAAGTCGCATGGGTCAGAGAATGTGTGTGTGTGTGTGTACGTGTGTGTGTGTGTTGTGTGTTGCGTGGTGAGTGTGAGTGTGTGTGTGTGTGTGTGTGCGTGTGTTGTGTGGTGTGGTGTGGTGTGTGGGGGTGGGGGTGCGGGTAGGGGTGGGGGTGTGTTTGTGTGTTTGTGTGTTTGTGTGTTTGTGTGTTTGTGTGGCTGTGTGTCTGTGTGTCTGTGTGTTTGTGTTTGTGTGCGTGTACGTGCACGTGTTTGTGTACGTGCACGTGTGCGTGTGCATGTGCGTGTGCGTGCACGTGTGCGTGTGCGTGTGCGTGTGCATGTTTGTGTGTGTATATTATATATATATATATGTGTATATATATATATATATATATGTGTATACGTGTGTATGCATGTACGCGTGTACCTGTGGCAATTGCAGCACTGAATTCCGCCTTTGCTTTCGATGAGTGCAAACAATTTGTTCGACACCCAATCTGCCTCAACTAGCAAATCAGTATTGATTTGATACCTATCTTGCTGGTGCTCATCAGGGAATGAGGGCATGACCCCGAAAAAAGACATCTCCTGTGGTTTCCTTTGTTCGGGAGTCCCCAGATTCTTTCCCACATTCCCTACCTATCGCACCAGAAAGTTAATATGGGGTCAACATGGGCTTGAGCCCCGCACCTCGCACTCGAGGATGCCCAGCAAAGTCGCCAGTTTCGCCTGGAACTACGCCCTCTTTTTAAACCACTCTCGCACCACGGCTTTTGGGGGTGGGAAACTACCTAGATTGCTGCCTTTTTCAGTCCCTATGTTCTTGTGTTTTTTTTTTTTTGTTTCCGGGTTAGGTACAGTGAAACTTCCTACATAGCCAGGTTGCTGTTTTTTTTTCAGTCAGTGTGTTATTGTTCTTAAGTCTAAGTGGACGCAGAAAAGCAGCAACTGGCGACCCAGCACCAGCCAGGCCCAGCACGATGCGTCCAGAGCTCCAGGCGCATGGGATCCGTTGGTTTTTTTTTGGGGGGGGATCCGAGGATCCGTTTTCCTTTGCAGTGGTTCAACCGGTGGTTCCGCCATCGCCTTGGTTGATGAAGTAGCTTTGGAGAAAGCCCCTCTAGGAATCCAGCAGGTTTAGCTTTCCAACAATTACGGTCAGAAAGTTTAGGCAAAAAGCTTTGCTTTTTGGGCGGAAGCCTCCAACCCACTCTCATTGGTAAACATTGGTGTTTCTCTCACAATTTCGGAACTCGCCCCCACAAGAAGAAAACCTTAGGTCGTGGTAAGGGAAACAACCCCACGGATGTTGAGAACCGCATTCGGTGCCCACTTGGGACCAAAAAAGGTCTCAAGCCGAGCTTTTGGTCCATCCTGGCGTCCTGGGCCCGGCCATCCCCAAAACGCTTTTTAGAGCCTTTTAGTTGGATGAGCTAGAAGGCTAGAGTTTCGTCACTAGAGCTTTTTAGAGCCTTTTAGTTTGTTTTTAGAGCTTTTTGGTTGGTTTTTAGTTGGATTTTAGTGGGCTTCCCCCCGAGCTTCGCCAGCGAACAGGTTCGGCCGGAGCGGATCGGTAGAAAACGGCCCAACCCAGTCTCCCGGTGCCGAAGGGACAAGTAGGTGAAGAATACCCCGCAATTGGTATAGCCCAATATTGCAATCCCAAGCTGTGGAGTAGGGAGCTCCTCAAACAGCAATCGAGCTTGGCACGTTTGGGAACCCGGCCAGAGGCCTCCATTTCCTCACTCATTTTGGCTTCGGACAGGGCACCGCCACGAACTGCGGCAGCGACGCGGGAGACCTGACCAGCGGGAACAGCCGGGGCCTCGCGCACGGCGAACGGCGCGCGGGGGCCCCTAAAAAAAAGCGGAAAGGGGCCGAGACCTAGGATGAAGATGTCGCACAAGGTGAAGAGCTTGTCTTATCCTCTTCTTTTTGTTTACCTGAAGGTCAAGGGTTTCGTTATAGTTCCAAAAAAAGGAAAGAAAAGTCAAGGTGCCGAAAGTCTTTGTCAGAATTGTGTTTGGTGGCTCCACCACTAAAACAGGTCCTGGCCCTATGGACCCATAGGGTTCCAATTTGGGAACGCTCAAAATTGTGGCTTTCCCTTGCTCCTTAACTTTGGCCTTGCTTTGCCAAGGTTGCTATCTTTTGTGTTGGGAAAACAACAAGGACCCCCCCCCTCTTTTCGAATGGCATATATATATATATATATATATATATATATATATGTAATTGCCAGTTTCCAGCCATGCCACCAGCCCCGCAACAGAATCTGCTCGATTGGCCAGGTGGATGCTGCACCACGTCAGCCCCCTGCGGGGTGGATGAAGGCTTCGGTACTTGGAATGCGGTTTTGGTTCGGTCTGATGGGTCACTTTGGTGAAGATATTGACTGTTTTTCGGGGGCCTTCTCGGGTAATTTTGAGGAGGTCACTTTGGGCCCAGCAACGGCCCCTCCATCCGCCATCAATATGAGGTTTGTGGAAAACTCCGATCAAACACCATGGAAGGTATCAACAAAAAGAGGGATGGCAAAGGCCACAAATGCAGGATGTCTGGGTTGGCACCATCTCCAGGAAGCCGTGGGTTCCTCAATCGCCCGAAGACACCAGGGGTTCAAGACAAATCCTGAGAAAAGTCCGGCGTATGGTCAAATGAGTTCTCTTTGGGGTTTGACAGGGGATCCAGATCCCCATCCCCCCCCATTTTGAAGGAAGCGAAGGTGGCCAATCGCGCCAGGCGTTTGCAGCTCCGACACTCGCTGCGCTGGGGCCTTCGGAACTTCTCCGAACTTGAGAGGATCTCCCTTCTCTTGGGAGACACGGGCCTGGGGGAAGTGGCTGCCCAGGGAAACCCCTTTGAAAGTTGGAGTTGCAACCAGGCCAAACCGTTCCTGGCAGAGCCTGTAGAGATCAACAAGGCGTCCCCCCGCGAATGGAATTGAGGCCAGCTACTTGCAATGCGTCAGCGACAGCTGCAGTGCGGCCCTCGGCAGACTCTTCGGAGCACTCGATCTCTGAATCCTGCGACAAGTTGGCTGTTTGAGTTAAGGCTTCTACTACCCAGTTTAGTTTTGACCCAGAATCAATGAAATATGATGAAACCCTGGTTGATGGATAGCGGGCGTTCCCCGTTTTTTTTACACGGGACCCCTGATTGTAAGCAGACGCCCCGTATTGATGCACCAGGTTGCCTAATCCGGGGTCGTCAGGAACCGGTTTGGGAGAGTTTGGTTTTCGTCGGGGTGCCCTTCACAACATGTCCAACCGGGTTTTGTTGTGTTTTCCCCCCGTTGTTCTACCTTTATGTTTGTTGGGCATCCTTTGCTTGTCGGATTGCCAACCATTGGCAATCCTCTCACCACATGGGTTGATTTAGTGCTTGTGTGGAGATCTAAGAATGGAGCATTCCAACAAAATAAGTGCTTGAACCGTGCCATGGTTTTTTTGCATACCACTAGCTGTTGGGCTCGACTAGTGAAAGGAGGTCTGGCCATGAGTGACTTGCATATTCTGGAGGCCTTTCGAAGATATTGTCATCCAGAAGTGGTGAATGAGTTTCAGCAACTTGGGCCAGAGAATCAACAAGTTTGGCTGAATGCATTCTTCGCAACGTGCCACAATTCCGCTGTGACGGCGGCCGCTGATCGTGTCGCAGAAAGACTGTACTTGGCCAACCCTCAGACGCTAGACCCAAGTGATGCCGACCTGCCTTCGATGTTGGCGCAGATGCAAAGTTCTTACCCAATCAGAGGCGAAACAGGAGCAGATCCTTGCCCGCTTCTGCGTGCCCTGCAACCCCACATGAAGCTCGATCAGAGTTATTGGGCGGATTTGCTGGGCCCCCTTCGAGACTTTCTGCCGTCTTGGGGCAGAAAGCGCACGCGGCAGGAGCTGCGGAGGCGGCATGAAATGGGCGTGCTCCACCACAAAGGTTGGCAAGCGATCCTCAGTCAGAACAGCGACCTGAAAGCATTGAAACGCTCCGACGCCACAACCCAAAAACCCACGGCTTTTATGAAGTCTTGGACCAGCCTCGTGCCGAGCTGTTTCGCGGACTTGCCGTTGTTCATGGTGGCGAAAGGGAAGGTGGTCCACTGCACAGTCATTGATCATCCGTTCGTAAGCACTGCAATTCAGGTGCTGGTTGAAGACGATCAAGGCCAGCTTATGAGCCTTCAGCTTTACAATCAACTGCCTGAGGGTGCCTTTGGTGGATTCAGCGCAGATGGCGTCACCTCCAAGTTCGCAAAGGGCACTAAGGTCAGTATAGCCGAACCATTCCTCAAAATCATGAACGATGGCTATCGAGGGATTCGAGTGGATGCACCCTCAGATGTGCGAGTCTCTTTAGTCGACTCTGATATGACATCTCTGAAGACTGCAGGAAACAGCGCGTTCTCCAAAGGGCAGTTTGATCTAGCCAAGGAGCAATACCTGGCTGCTTTGGAGGTTGCAGAAGCTGAGGAGATCACCATGTGTTTGGCCAACCGTGCCCAAGCGTTTCTTGAAATCGATCCGGTCGAAGCTTGCAAGGATGCAGCAACCACTCTCTTGCTGCGACCAGCCCATCAGAAAGCAGGGCTGCGATACGCCGCCGCGTTGAAGAGATGCGCAGAGCACTGGCCAAAAGAAGGAGAAGAAGAGCGACGCAGTTGGATGCTTGTTGCAAAGCGAGCTGCCACCTTGTATCCTGCCGGGGCACAAGTTGAGCAGAGTGTCACCAGACAAGATATCCGAGTTGTGCTTGCGACTCTTCTGTGTGGATTTGCAGATGGCCTCAAGTTCTATCAGAGCACGCTCGACTTCGAAATCTTTGGCGAGTCAGCTGCTCAATGTAGGGAAGAAGCCAACCGCCAATACAAAGCTGGTGACAAGCTGAAGGCGATCACTGGCTACACGCTTGGCCTGGCAAAGGCCGGCTGTGCAAAAACTATCGCCATGCTGCTTTCAAATCTCAGCGAAGTGTCCCTCAGACTTCGGGAGTCGCACAATGCAGTGGCCTTTGCCGTAGCTGCAACTCGATTCGGAGTCGCAGACCTGTCAGGTAAGCTCCTATCTCGAACCTGCCGTGCGCTGGAGCAGCTGGGGGAGAGAGCCTTGGCTATGGAGCTTGCAAGAGTCAGCACAGACGGCGCCTGCGCAGAGGCATCCAAGGAATTCCTCCGTCTTCCGGAAACTTACTCCTTCAGAACCAGAGTGTACACCAATGGCGTGGCAAAAGCGATTGTCGATGGTGCTGTCTCGAATTCGAAGCCCTTGCCTGAAATCGTCCATCATAGGATCAAAGCCGTGCCGGTGGCTGGGAAAGGCCGGGGAGTCATTGCCACTGAAGCCATGGAATCGGGTGAGTTGTTGATCGTGGCCTATGCTTTGTCTCTAGGCTTGGCAGCCAAAGATGAGTTTTTGCAGATCACATCAGGCAGAGCACATCAAGGCGCTTCAACAGCAAAACTGGTGAGCAGGCTTGCTTACAGCGCTTCAAGCAACAATGAGGTCGCTTGGATACTGTCCCAGCTTTGTGCGAAACCAGGGGAAAGCAAGGAGACAGTCCAACCATGCGAATTGGTGGGCTTGAGTCCCCGATGGATGCCTTTGCTTTTGCAGCAGCATTGCTTTTACCCTTCGCATGAACGTGTGTCCTTGGCAAAGCCAACAATTGACTCCATCATTACAATCAACTCGCATGGCAGCCGTACAGTAGAAGGTGCAAAGTACTCCGGTGTGTTCCCGAGCGCTTGCCTCTTCAACCATTCATCGGATGCCAATTGCGGCTTTGTCTCAGTGGAGCTGGCAGATGGCTCCAGTTTGCCGGAGGTTCTGGCAGTGATGACAATGAGGGCTGTGAAGGAAGGCGAGGAGCTCTGTGTACGCTATTCAGAAATCATGCCGCTAGAGAACACTTGGGGCATCAAGGACTGATGTCAGCCATGGGGCATCACAGAGTGATATCATAGCCGCGACAAAACCGAGGCCAAGGCTTGCGCTGCGCGATTCTTGCCCGTTTAAGCAGGGCTTCCAATGATGCCTATTATGGTTATTCCAAAAAACAACTATTTTTTGGAAGGGTTTTGAATGGAAGCTGCAGATCCCCCTCCCCAATTTGTCCAACCCCATGGTGAATCTTTATGACCATCTAGACCCGAAAGTCGACAGGTTCTGCTCAGACTGCAAGCTTGGGGTTACACCACACGTGTTTCGTGTCATTGTGGGCATTTGTTCTTTCACCTGACGCGGACATAGGCGTTTTGGGATTTCAGCCAGAAAAACTGGCTCGTGCTGCAGTCTTGCTCAGGCAGCTCCTGTGTGGCAACCTTCACATTCCTCGGACATGTGTGTGCGTGCGTGCGTGCGTGATGTGTTTGTTGTTTTGCACCCATGAGGAGTTCCCCCAGTTTGAAGCAAGCCCCCGAGCAAATCAACCCGCTGCCCGCTCTGGTTTTGCTGACGCGTGTCCTTTTGTCTCCCTCCTAGGTTGGAGCTCCACGGACACCGACATGCAGGACTTTGAATTGAGTGTTTGGGTGTGACCACAACCAGCCAGGCCAGTAAAAGCAGTCCTAGAATCCGGAGGGGGGGGCTTAGTTACAGACCAAAAGAAAACCGACCGGTTGAAGAGGGTTGATTATGTTTGGAACCACCTGTGTAGGGCATCATGAGCAAGCATGTGACATGCTTGGTGATCACGACGATGGTCAGGATGCGTGCTGCGTACTTCAGGGCAAGGACGGAGCGTTTGTCAGCCAGGACAGGGAAGGCTTTTTTTTCAGGGTCCCTTAAAGCGAGCAGATTTAGACAATCTCAAAGTTAGTGCTGTCCCTTGAAACCGACATTTAGAGGATGGTTTCAAGGATGTCGCTTTAATGGACCCAGTTTTGCTGAGTTCTTTGCTTGGCAGGTCTGCCTTCCGCTCTCAAAGAAGTTTGACCTGCCTGGCGTGCGGAAGCTACCCTTGAGGGTGCAGCCCTGATGCCACTAAACCACATAAACCCATAGACATATACAAGTGGAAGAACAGCCACAAAGGGAATATGGTTTCCCAGCAAATTGAAGTACGCGGGTAGCCGTTGAATGGCCAATTCGTGGCTTGCGCGGACACTGTTCAAGCTCGAACATGAGAGCAGATGAAAGGCAGAAGCAATTGCGCTGAAAAGGCACATGAACTCACGCACTGCCTTGGCATAGCCTCAGGGACTCACAGCCAAGGCTGTCCTGCCATTGGCAGAGGGTAGGCAACTTTGCAGCTGGAAATACAAGCGCCTTGCGGAGAATCTCTTGTCAAACTCCAGGTAGGTCCAAGAAAAGTTTTGTGGGACACCCAAAGATCAATTCGCCTGGTGAATGGAGCATCATGGTCTAAGGGGGCGAAGCCCCACGATTGTCCGGTGATCGGCGAGCCGGCGAGCCGACGACCCGAAGCGCCTTCAGCTTGCAGCCCATGGGCTGCCGCGTGTCCGCCGCGCTGAAGCGGCTTGAGCTTATGACAGGCCCATGCCAAAGAGCCCAGTCTCAAAGATTTGAAGCCGGGGAGGGTGGTGTGGGGCGGAGAGCCAAATCGACTTGAGTTCCACTGTTCACCATCTGTTTTTTTGCATAAGCTAAACAGCTAAACTTTCCGCGGGGCCCTGTTGGTTGCTGCTAAACAAGCATCATATGGATAGTGAAGGGTTCCTGTTTTAGAAAAGAGAGAGAGAGAGAGAGAGCGTGAAAGAAAGAAAGAAAGAAAGAAAGAAAGAAAGAAAGAAATGAAATAATGCAGGAATGAACAATGAAGAATGAAGAACAGAAAGAAATAAAGAAAGAAAGAAAGAGCATCAAACGGACATTGCAGTTGTTTGAAGGGTCCCTATGCTAGGAAAGAAAGATAGAGAGAGATAGAGCTAGAAGACCAAAACGAAAAGAGCAGAAATGAAAAGCAAGGAAGAACACAAAGAACTAAATAATGTTATATGTAGAGAGAGAGAGAGAGAAAGGACAATAAAGGAAAATAAGACAAAACATAAAGAAGATAAAGAAAGAACAATTCCCGGGAAACAATGACAGAATCGTGGTGGTATCAAAGGAATAAGCATCAGAGTCAGTGGCAGGGGTCCCCTCCCTCCTAAAGAGGAGCCTGGTGATTGGATATTTGAGGGTCTTCGGTGGGTTTTCAGGATTCTTGACAGATCCTCCGGGTTTCCCTGGAAATAGGCCAAAACCTCATCACAGGTTTTGCCCTGGGCCCTGCACCCGGCAACAGGGCACCCGGCGTGGTTGCAACCGCCGCAGGCGGCGCCTCGCGCGGCTCGCGCGGCGGGGGACCCGGCCCTGCGGGGCCTGAGCCGCCGGTGGCGCCGGCGCGGCTGGGCAGGGAGCTACGGGAGCTCCTGGAGGCGAAAGTTGGGGAAGTCGAACAGGGCTCCATGTTGGTTTTTTCAACACCAAAATAAAGGGGTTTCCCACCATTTACAAGTTGCAATGTTCAGGTGTACAATGTAAGGATCACTGGCAAGGGAAAGCCTGGATGGCGTTGCAGTAGTAATACTGTGGATGGACGAAATCCTCTTAGGCACCACCCAAGAAACCTGGAATGATGATTCCCCCAGCAATTGGTGCCCTTTGATAGTTTCTCTTTCGGCCTTCCGGTCTCCTGGTCAGGTGAGCCACGTGCTCAAAACCCGGGGAAAGATGAAGATTAGTAAGGGACAATCCCAACCATAAAATAGCTGCAGATATCTGCCTTCTTAATTCTTGAAGCATTGACATGGAACGAGCTCACCGGTCCGGGGGCAAAAGGAGGGACTGCGCCTGCAAAAAGATTGAAGAGGCAATCAGGTGACAAGAGGGTCACTCAGGCGAAGATGTTTGCAGGAATCCTTGTGCGCCTAGTCACCAAAATATGTGTGTCAAAAAATCGGGCCCTCTCACTGCGCCACTTTGGAGGGAGGTCGAGATGAAGTCAACCTCACACAAACACACACACACACACACACACACACACACACACACACACACACACACACACACACACACACACGACATGCTTCTTGTGTTTTCTCAACCACTTGGAGGGAATTCTAGTTTTGACACAGCTAGTCCATTATTTTGTTTGACACAGCCAAACCATTATTTTCCTTGGCGAGTTTCACTAAGTTCAGCAACTTGGCTGCGCTTCCCCACAGATGCAAACATTGGAAACCATCCGAGACATAGCAAAACTCCAAAGCACCAAAGGACCAAAACGCCAAAGGACCAAAACGCCAAAGGACCAAAACGCCAAAGGCCAAAACACCAAAGGCAAAAACGCCAAAACGCCAAACCCACCAAAGGCCAAAGCGCCAAAACGCCAAATCGCCAAAACGCCAAACCCACCAAAGCGCCAAAACGCCAAAGCGCCAAAGGCCAAAGCGCCAAAACGCCACAGCACCAAAGGCCAAAGCGCCAAAACGCCAAAACGCCAAAGGACCAAAACGCCAAAGGACCAAAACGCCAAAGGCCAAAACACCAAAACGCAAAAGCGCCAAAACGCCAAACCCACCAAAGGCCAAAGCGCCAAAACGCCAAATCGCCAAAACGCCAAACCCACCAAAGCGCCAAAACGCCAAAGCGCCAAAGGCCAAAGCGCCAAAACGCCACAGCACCAAAGGCCAAAGCGCCAAAACGCCAAAGGCCAAAGCGCCAAAACGCCAAAACGCCAAAGGCCAAAGCGCCAAAACGCCAAAACGCCAAAGGCCAAAGCGCCAAAACGCCAAACCCACCAAAGGCCAAAGCGCCAAAACGCCAAAACGCCAAAGGCCAAATCACGAGCCTGCTGGGACTTGAGCCCCTTTGATCCTGCGAATTTCGGCGCAGGCGTCGAACGCCATGGGCCCCGAGCAGAAGGTGGGCTGGCAGCGGTGGCTGCAGCAGCCCGCGAAGGCGGAAATTCCGAAAGCCGAGTGCAGACGTGATGTAAAGTGGATAGAAAAATATAATCTCGGTTTTTCAGCTAGGTGCCCTTTCTCGCCAACTTCTTTGGTTGGGAGGGTTCCCCTAGTGAAATAGACTACGGAAAAAAAAAGAAAGGTACCCTTAGTCTAGCCTCTCTACTGGAGGACCTGGTAAACGAGATGGGAATGGGCGTGTTTCGCGGAGAACAGCCGGTCCCTTTTCCAGTTAAAGGCAAGAACGCTTCAGGCAACAACAATCTTCAATGGGGGGGTGATCCCTCACCTTTTCCCTCATATGCGACAAGCAAAAAAAGACACTGTTGATGAGAAGGTGAGTCGAGAACAAGCACGAGTGCCAGCGCCGTTTCGGTGTCATTGGAAACATGGACCAAAACCTGGTCCCCTGGTGGTTTAATTTTGACCCATACCACATGGCCTCCCGGTGCCCGTTCAGTCAGGAGGTAGAGCCGCCGCCCTGGCAGAAGCTGTGCTACCGCTCCAGCCTGCTACTGGCAGAGGGGGCGCAGGAGGCAGCCAGCAATGCAGCCGCAGAGGCAGGAATGGCTGCCACAGCTAGTGGTCTGTTTTTTTTTGGGGGGGTGTGTGTGTTTTTTTTTGTTTTTTTTTTCCGGGCCCCAGAATAGATTCAATTGTCCTTTCGGTATCCTTTGACACTTTAAACCAACCTGAAAAAGGTACCCTCAAGACACCCAAATGGGTTGCTCCTGTTAAAACCGGGTGGTTTTCAGTTCCCCCCCTCGTTTTTCGAGCTACCACTTGGTGGCCTGCCCGAATCCATGAGGCCCATTTGGCAGTCGTAAGCTGCTGGCATCAGGTGGCTGTTGCACAGTTGGAGCCTGCCGTTTCCCACCCAAATTCATGCCTGTTGGCAAATTTGTTAAGTCAGTTTAGTAGGGCTTGCAACGAGGCCTATGAAAACCCTCTACAACCATCTTGGCGGAACCGAGCAAAAAGTTGCAGAACAATTGGTTGCTCCGGCTTCAGAGGTTGCTGCGCTACGGCCACTACCGGTGCAGCCGCTGGAAAACATGCCCTGGTTGCAGCATCTTTGCTGCTCGTATGGAGCCAATCCCGGAATTGCTCCCCGCAACGTAAGGAGGGGGAAACGGTTTCTTCCCACACACAGGACTGGTTGAAGTAGAGGCAACCACCAAATGGGGGGCAGGGCCCCTTTTGGTTCCCCTTAAACACACCCGACGGTACCCTGGAATATCGCACACGCCCACATGTTGCCCTCAGTAAACCTCGCGCACTTTTCCCAGAAGTGTAGATCCTCCGCCTCTTGAAAGGAAACTCCTGACCTTATGTGCACTGAGGATATCATTCCAAGTGCTTCTACTCGATGTGTGTGTGTGTGTATATGCGTTTGTCATTTGTGTCAAGGGTACCCTTTGAAGAGTTGTTCGAAGGGACTTCACATGGACACCACCCATCTTCGGAGGGCGGTTCCCCATGTAGAAACGTTGTTTTTGTTTTTGTTTTTATTAAACATGTGCTTGGTCCCCAAGTTGAGAGACAAGCCCAAATGAGCGTGTCTTAAAATAGTGGAGGCCTTCCTTTTGGTTTGGCCCTTCAAACCAAGCCCCCCAAAAGAGTAACCCACCCAAATCCACGGGTTAACTTGTCGTTGCAGGGTACCCTCAAAACCGCCCCACCCAAAATCCACGGGTTAACTCGTGGACGTTGCAACCCAGGTTGCTTGTTGGAAGCTCTGGACGCTGTGCTCTGCCTCTCTGGCAGCCTGGCTGCTGCCGAGGTGGCGGAGGAGGCGAACGCAACGAGCCGAATGCCGAACCAAATGCGACGCGCGCGGATGTTTTGGGTGGGTCGGTGTGTTTTTGTTTGGTACGGTGGGTCGGTTTGTTTTTTTTGGCAAGGTGGGACACAACCCCCCACCAACCAACCCTGTGATGTTCCTGTGTTGCCGGGAGGGTATGCGTGTTTGTTTCCAAAAACTGGCAGTGGCTCAGATAAATGTAACAAAGCACCTTAGCAAATGGAATCAAAGACCAAAACCTGCGTAACCCCAGCTCTTTAATTTTGAGCCACACTCAATTGCATTTGGAACCCAAAAACATAGGAATTGGAGCCTGCCCAGGTGTTTCCAAAGCTGGATGAGGTTTGGGAGGTTCTGCTGCTCAGCCGCATGCAGTGGTGCCCCCTTGTGTATACAAATATACATATATATATATATCTATATGCATATATATATATATATGGTACCCCCCCCCCAGTACCCAGGTGTTGTTGCATCATGTATCAAAACCGTTGATATTTACAGTGTATTTTGATTGAACTCATGCATTTTCTGCAAGGCCGTTTTGTGGGCAAAAAAAAACAATCCTAGCCCCCACCATGGCTGGGATTATTTTATTGTTTTTTGTTTTTTGATTGTTGTTTTTTTGGTTTTTTGGTTTTTGGTTTTTTGTTTTTTAGTCCAGGGAAATGTTGAGCAACATTTGCGGAGCCTGATGAGAGGATATGTGAACCTTTGTGAAAGATTGCATGTTCTGGGTGAGAGGATATGTGAATTTTCTGTAGAAAAGAGATTGAAAAAGACATGTTTTGTGTGAGATGATATGTGAGTCTTTGTGGAAGAGTCAGGGTTACAGTGATTCATAAAAGTACAGCAAAAGACAGTAAATATCATGTAAAACCACCATTTATGTAACACAAACTGTCCCAGCCATTCTACACAGGGTTCACTTTCCTTGGCAACTCTTTCACATATGCTGCCTTTGCTTCATTCAAAGAAGACATGTAAAAAGACATGTGTGTGAGTTTTTGTGTGGAAGAGTCTTTGAAACAAGGCATGGTTTGTGTGGGAAGATATGTGAGTTATCTGTGGAAGAGCCTTTGAAAGAAGGCATGGCTTGTGTGGGAAGATATGTGAATTGAATTTTGTGTGGAAGAGCCATTGAAAAAGGGCATGGGTCACGTCCAAGGCGTCTTTCTTCAATGAGGCAAACCTCCTTCCTCTGGTCTCCCAGTGTGCAAATCTGAGCTGTTCTTCCTGCCTGCTTCCGCGTTCAAAGCCCATCTGAACCAAGCCCAAACCTGGGTACCTCGGGGGGGGGGGGGGTAGCATATATAGAGAGAGTGATACATATTACATATCCATATATATATATATACATGTAACTATATATATATATATGTGTACGTGTGTTCTTGTTGTCTTTTTGGGCGGAGGGTGCATCAACACCAGAAAATGGTGCCGCTTCCTTTGCCCAGTGGGAGGTCTGGGCACCCACGGAGTTTTGCGACGGTTCCAAGGGAAGACTTTGGGTCAGCTGGGTGTGGGCCAAAATGAAGCCACCAGTCCTTGTGTCCATGGGCTCCATTTGGCCATGGGGCGGAACCAACCTATGGTGATCCCATTTTGGGGTGGATGAACATCCATTTGCCACCTATGATGTTCACCAGTAATTTTCCTGGGTGTTGACTCGACCCAGAGCCAAATGAGAAAATGAACCGCTGCTTGGCATTCTGCAGCTTCGATATGAGCACAAGATCATTCACCGCCATGGGCACCCTATTGTTGTTAAGCACACACGAAGCGGCTGAGCAGTTCCGCTGTGGTGACTCAGCACCACGCCCCAGCCTGCAAAAAAAGTCAGCCCAGTCGCGCATCACACAGCCCGCAATTTCAACACTGATATGCAGATCATGACTCTTCAACACCTTCAAATGTTGGCAAGTCGCCCTCTCCCCAAAGGGTTGAACATGACTCATGGAATGCGGCGCCTGTGCTGTGGGTTTGTTTTGATCGAAAAATCAGCGGAAAGCCATTCATTTGACCGTGGCTCGGAAAAATGTACCAAAATGACAGCTTGGTAAATGGAACCCAAGACTGCAACCTGCGAAACCCCAGTTCCTTAGTTTTGAGCCACACCCATTTTGGGAGTTCTTCAGTTTGAGACAAACCCTATGTACGCACGCCCCACGCACGTTACAAAGGTGCAAAAGCTGAGGCGTCGCTACGCCAAGATCGCCGTGCTCAAGCCCACGCTGCCCGAGACCGACGTTGGTGCTGCTTGTCAGAGACAAACGACGCATCGCAGCTAGCGCTGGGTCCCATGCTAGGTCCCCCAGCTAGGTGCCCTTTCTCACCGGAGGAAACCCCCCTACTAAAATAGACTACCGAGAAAAAAAAGTACCCTTATTCTATCCTCTCTACTGGAGGAGCTAGGATGAATCAATAGCGATTTGTTTCAATGCAAGAAGCAGGCGCGGTTTGCAGCATGTCTGAGAGCGTGCGATGTAGAAAGCTATGGGTTGTTTTGTTGTGTTATTCTTTTTTCTTTTCGTTTTTCCGGAGAACGAGGTACAAGCAACCATGGAGCATCCACAGTTACAGAGCGGAGGACTCTTTTGAGATTCAAGAGAACGATGGGTGAATCAACCCTTGAATCTTTGGGTGGACGAAATCCTGCACCAGTTATAGATGAAATCGTACAAATACCGGGATAAACCACCAATCCCAACTGGTGCGAAGTGGATGTTCTCCATCCAGTGTTTAACCCTGCCACACCTTTCTACTTTCTACTTGAAGGGAAACCAACTTGTGCATCAGACCCCATAGAAACCCCACTCAGTTGTTCAAAGCCGACCTTTTGACCTTTTGGTTTTCCCATTGTCCATTTCTAGTGGCCCCAATGATCACCTTTTACTCGTAGGTCCCTACGAGGCAACTGAGCATAAAAAAGAACCAACCCCATTCAAATAGGGACCCAAAAAAGGAAAAAAAAAACGGCAAACAAATAGGGGTCCCATACAAACCCCATAAACCACCCATACAAACCTCATATAACAACAAAACGACTTTATAGGGACCCCACAAACACCCAAAAAAAGAAAGAAAGAACAAACAAACAAGCACACACACACAAAACAACAACATGTGTTTCTTCCCCATCGACCCCATCAACCCCGCGGCACTGAGGCGCTCCGTGCCGCGCGGCTCTGCGCGGGGGACCTGGGCGCGGCGACCCCGCGGGCGCAGCTGGCGCCGCTCTGCGAGGCGGCGCTCAGGCTGCCGCTGCAGGCGCCGGTTCCGGCGGCGGGGTTGGTGTGTGGGTCGGTTGGGTCGGTTTGGTCTGGGCTGGGTTTTTGCTCTGTTTTTGTTTTCTTTTTTTTCCGGCTTTTTGTTGGTGTTTTCGGCTTTGTGTGTTTTCGGTTTTGTGTGGGTTTCTTCGGCTTTTTGTTAGTTTTTGTTTGGCTTTTTGCTGTTTTCTTCGGCTTTTTGTGGGCTTCTTCGGCTTTTTGGTTGGTTTCTTCGGCTTTTTGGTTGGTTTCTTCGGCTTTTTGGTGGGATGGCAGTTGGTTGTTTCTTTTGGCTTAGTGGGTGATTTGTTTGGCTCTTGAATTGTTGCTGTTTGCTTGTTTGGTCAATTCATGCCTGGTGTTGTACCGCAAAGGTAAGGCTTATTTGATAGGGGAGACCTCAAAGTACGGGAAACCCGGTTTCCAAACGCATGGGCGTGTGGTTCGGTTTCCCTTGAGGCTGGGTCGCCTTTTTTTTGGGGGGGGTGTATCCCCTTAAGCGCACCCCAAAGTCCAAAAAGGGACCAGCCATATGTTTTCCCCCCTCCCCCCCCCCCCGGCCAAAAAGTATGATGGACCCATCTAGGTGGCTGGCGTCCTTTTGGTGGCCATCCAAACCCGCACCAAACGGGGACCCCTATTTTGACAGCCCCCCCCCCTTCTTCTTCATGGCTCCTCGGGTTTCGACTGAAAGAAAGACTTGGCGCCGTCCCAGATACTGGCTCGCTGTACGCCAACGGGGCCGGAGGCTGCGGCCTCAGAAACACACCCTGCGAGCAGTGCCGTTGGAGGATGGGAATTCTGCCTATTTTATGGCTCCGATGCGCTGGGGTATAACAAGCGAAAGCCATGAGAAAAGGTAATTTAGTTGTCCCCTAATTCAGCTTTTGGAATGACAGTAAAATTTGCAGATGGGTTACAGTACAAAAGTCAATCGGCTCTGGGCGCCATTCCATCTCTTGCCAGGGTTCCAAGACGACCTAGCAAGCAGCTGGATGCTTGTCATCACCGGAGTGTGATGTGCGAGTCCAAAGTTACCAAAACCAGGTTTGCTTAGACAAGCTAACCCTGTTCTTTGAGCAAGTGGTGAGTGAGCTTAAGCATGTTTACCACAGTTTTGGCCGGACCATGGCTTAAACCCTGCAGAAACCCTCAAAAAGTGTATGGAGCAGACCTCACATGAGTTTCAGTCAAGGGACATGGGTTCGCAACTGGTAAAAAATCGTCACATGTCTCTGTGCATGCCCAGAGATGGCTTCATGCAAAAGCGAAACCAATGGGGCCAAGCTTCCAGCTGTTGGATAGCCTCAGACTCCAAAGCCCGCACCGCGCTGCACTCCACGCTGCTCCCGAGGCTGTGACCGGACAAGACCTGCTGGAGCTGGCCGATGGAGCCCCATGGTGAGAGATTGGTGGGTTTTCCAGCTGGGCATGGATCAAAGTTAAACCACCAGGAATTGGACCGCAAGTTTTGATTCAAGTCCATGTTTCCACTGACCGATGGGGCAACCCATTTTGGGGGGGACCCTATTTTTGACCACCACTGCCATATTTCCCCTTTGAACATCACCCCCACCAAGGGATTCTCACCTTTCATGGGCCAACAAGGTGATGTTCAAAATCACCAATAGGGAGCCAACTGCAGCCCTTCTGCTTGCAACTCAAAGCGAAAAGGACACCTGGGCCATTTTGGGATACACAATAACCCTCACAAGGTTGGGTAGCAGAACCACCTACTGCAGTAGGCTGGTATTTAAAGGGAAGCCGAATGGCAACGCTGGCCATTTTGGAGAGACCTGCCGCTTTGAACCGCCAAGGCTCATGGAATCTTGAAGTGGCTCTTGAGAATCTCCAAGGCTTGTGTTGCACCACTCATGGCTCTGCTAGTATTCGGAGCAGTCAAAAGGAACGCCCATTTGACTATTGGCAGCACCAGGAGTCATACAGCAACAGGACGCCCAGTCGACGTGTTTTGTGGATGTCTCTTCTCTGATTGTTCCGCAGCAGTCTCAGATGCGCAGCCAAGCGTGCATTGGTCAAAAGCCAATTTGCTTGTGTCAAACAACTCAATTCAATGTTTGGGCCAAAGGTGAGGCTAGACTACACCCCACTGTAAACAGCCAGCGCAAGCGCCTTCAACAAACAGGTACAGGTAAACTTGCGAAGTCGCATCAATTTCGCAGACATGAGTTCATACCTTGGATGGACGAGATCCTGCGCCAGTTGGGATTGGTGGTTTATCCCAGTCTTTTCTTTAGGGCTTGATCCATCCCGTTCGGCCCCCAAAAAAGATGGCTCGAAGCGCCCCGAGGACTTGTCTCTGGCGGTCTTCTGCGCGGTGAGCGCTCTGCGTGCGCCCGGCCTTCGTGCCTCTGGAAGGCTGAAGCTGAGAGTTTGGCAGCTGCTGCAGGACGTTCCGTTTTTTTTTTTGGGGGGGGGGGGGGCGCTACAAGTTGAAGGGCTAGGGGTTGTCGCCCCACCAGTGCTTGAACCCGTGTCAGGTTGGCACTTGCATCAGTGAAGGGCAAGCTGAAACCAAGCTTGGGTTTCCTCAACCATGTTTAGGAGGGAAGACCATTTTTTGGTGAACCCCCTGTCCAATTTGGGATCTTTTGGAAATCAGCCTTCGTAGACCACCTTCAAAACCCAGTTGCCAAAGGCGGCCTTTTTCCTTTTCTTGGGGGAAGGATTCCCTTTTGACTCCACCAACTAAAAAAGGATCCCCTTTCTTTCCCATGGACATTCACTAGGCATCTGAGGCAAGAAACGCAGACTGAGTTTTGTGGTTTTCCCAAAGGATGCCCTTTTTTCCCCACGGAAATTCACCAAGCATCTGGGGTGAACCGAAGGCTGAGTTGTGCTTTCTTGGTGGCTCCCAGCCATCCCCTTAGCTTCTTAGCTTTTTAGTGTTTAGTGGTTGGATTTCCATTTCACCCACTAAAGGTTAGTCACTTTTGGCAGGGGATCTGAACCGGTTTTAGCCGTGAAGCCCAGGTTTGTTTCTCGGCAGGAGCTTTCCACCTTCCAATTCTTCGCCTCAGAAATCTCGCCCTTCCGGGAGCGGAGTGACGAGACGCCCCTGCAGGATTCCTGGCATCGGCATCGATCGATCCGGGCGCAAAATTTTTGGAGCGTCTCAAATGGACCCTTCGGATCCGCGGTTCGGCGCCGGAATCGTCTTTTGAAAAATACCAACAGCCCCAAATTCCGACCAATGAGCCAAGGATTTCGGCACTCTGCAAGTGTTTTCTATTGGAATCGAAGATTCTCGGTTTCAACCTGCTTTCCTTGGTTTCCCTGTGGCTTCCCTTTTGAGCAACCCCAAAAGGTCACCTCCCAAAAGTCCGACCGACATGTTTCCTCTTAAAGACCCATAACAGGCGTTTCTCATAGAGGGGTCCTCCTTTGTAACGGGAGACCAAACGAAAATCAACCCGAAGGAATTCGTCCAATCTCAACAAACCTGCATGATTCCTCCTTTGTTCTTCAAGCCGACCTTTTTTCTGGTTCCATTTAGGGAAGCCCATCATGTTGTTGTGTCTTCTCTTTTTTTTCCAGGGTAGCGGCGTTTTGTTTTTCTTCTGGTGTTTTTTCAGTGAAACTAACAAACAAAAGCACGTCGAAGTCCATGTTTCTGGTGGTTTTCTGCAGTGAAACTAACAACAAACACGTGGAAATCCCATGTTTTCTGGTGGTTTTTCAACGGGAAACCCACCGACGAACCGTCGAAATGCGATTTGGCCCGAGGACTTCGAGGCGCAGCACCCCGGCTACGCCCACGGCTTGGCCCTGTGCCTGCTGCAGGCGCGCGCTTCGCGGATGGGAATGCGGTGGCGGTTGTCGCTGCGGTGGTTAGTGTGGAATTTGTTGATGATGACCACCACCAGCAACAGTAGCAGCAGCAGCATCATCATCATCATCGTCATCGTCATCGTCATTGTCATTGTCGTCATCGTCGTTGTTGTTGTCGTCGGCATGATGGGCATTGTCGTCATTGTTGTCGTCGTCGTCGTCGTCGTCGGCATTGTCGTCGTCGTCGCTTCCGTCGCTATAAATATGCGTGATAATGAAGGTTGTCATTGTGGCGCTGCAGTATCTGATGTGAACGTGTTGTCTTGAGCCGCCCCACAGCGATCACAGCTGCCCACTGCCGTCGGCATTGCCGTCGTCGTCGCTTCCGTCGCTGTAAATGTGCGTGATCATGAAGATTGTCACCCACTGCAGAGGCGGATGCTTTGGAAGCCTGCTGTGATTTGGTGGTCGCCAATGCGGAGGCGGGAAGCGCTGTTTCGCTTCACAGTCAGAGAGAAATAGAGTCTATGGCGGGCGGGGTGTGACCCCCCGGGGGAGCTTTGAGAGCTCCAGCAGTGCAACAAGTGGTTCTTGTGCAACACGGAGCCAGCGTTGGCCCCCTTCCAGGCGACTCAGCGAGTGGGCATTATCATAGGCTGCTTGCGAATGCTCCATAGAGCCTCGGCCATAATAGAAGCAATCGCAAGCTGCCAGCTGTCAAGAGATACGAAGGAGAGAGAAGGCACACAGTCGCAGAGCCACCTGCCTCTAGCGCCGTGTGTTGCTGCGGTTTTTATACACAAGTGTTGTGCTCGTTTGCAAGAAAACATGGAATTCGAGCCTCTCTTGCCACAAGTGTTGGGGAAATGTCACCCAGGCCTGAGCGCCTCCGACCGGCTTTGGGCCTCCGGCCGGCTACTGGCACGCCGCCTCAGCCTCAGATGCGCAGGCCAGGGGTCCAGGGGTGACTGCTACCATGTGTAGTTTAGGCCAGTGCTGATATTCGGGTTGCCACTTGTACCCAACAAACTGTCCCTTGGACTGACAAAATCGTCTTGGAAGTGGTTCGACTTTGGTACCACAGGACGGGACACTTTCTGCAATGCGAACATTAGGATTGATGAAGCTCGTGTCCTGCGCAACGGCATGCTTCACTTCTGTCGTACCAAGGAGCCTCCCCCTTGAATGGAGACACAGTTGCTCAGTGGTGCCCGTTTTTCCTTTTTGTTGGGAAGGGTTCCCGTTTAAAGTCGACCAACCAAAAAAGGATGCCGAATCGTTTTTCCCTATGGCCACTGGGCATCTGAGGAGCAATCATTTGGAAGGCCTTCCATTGGTATCACAGAAGAGTGGAAATGCCATTCCTAAACCCCTCCACGGTCAAACTGCATCACCTTTTGGGCCCAAAAAGGGAGTTCCTCTTGGGCTTGCAAAGGAAAACCAAGGACAAACCACGAGAACCACTCCGAATTTTGGGAGCGAAACCTGCTGACTCAAATTTTCGGCTCTGAGGCATAGCCGTGCTGTGGCCCCGCTTCGGCTACAGAGTTCTGGCCAGGGCCACGGCGATTTCGATTTTTAGATGGGTTGGCTCCAAATGGCTTCATCACAACATAGGGAACACAAGAAACGGTTTTCCCTTCAAAAAACCATCCCCAAAAGCGGTTCCCCTAGTTTGAGAGAAGATTCCAAAGCTGGGGCTTCCGCCCCAAGATGGGTGGTTTGCCGTGGAGAATCCCTCCTTTAAAGGGGCTAGCCACAAGACAGCCAAAGTGACTGGACTTCACGGAGCTCCGAGGGGACGAAGCTGTAGCATTTGAAGGGCGCGCAAGCCGTAGGAGAGAGGTGGTTTTTCACGGAGCTGATGGTTTCGATCTTGAAAAAGGCAGGACTGGTGGCGTTTTTTTCTTCCATGGATTGACCGGTCCTGTAGTTGAATCGCCCAGACAAAGGCGATGAATCGATCCGAAAAAAAAAGAGGACTCGTTTGAATTTTGCTTGGTGAGGGCTCGATCCGCTAGCACCTGGAAGGCACCTGGAAGACCAATTTCCCCAACCCTCAGGTGCCATGGGAGGGCAGGGGTCGCTCATTCCAAGGCCCCTCACTTGCGGCGCCTCGCAGCGTCCGAAGCAGGCCGGCGAAAACCGCTCGGCGGTTTTGCCTGGCTTTTTATCTGTTCTTTTTCCGGGGACGCTTTGTTGGAACCCCTGTTTGGGTGGTTTGCAAAGAAAGTTGCGGAGAAAGCAACCACTTGCAGGGCCCTATTTTTTACGAGGAACATCCATTTATTTGGTTTTGGCTCAAGAAAGTGGTATTAAACCGGCACCTTGGTAAATGGAACCAAAGACTAAAACCTGCATAACTCCAGCTCTTTTAATTTTGAGCCAGCCTGTTCCCGGCGCCCATCCGGTTTTTTTTCCATTGGCGAGGAGCACAAGGCGAGCTGCGCCGGGACTTGCGCACGCTGGCCTGGCTGCTTTACCACGCCACATCCCCAGAGAGTTGGGCCGACTCGGACCTCCAACTAGCCGCAAGAATGGGCAAAAATTGTATGGCTCAAAATGAAAAGGCTGGGGCAAACCGCGGGTTTTAGTCTTTGGTTCCATTTACCAAGGTGCCATTAATGTGAGCCACAGCCAAATGGCTAATCTCTGATCAGTTGCCCCATATTGTGAGTTGGGCCTCATGCGCTGATATTTGTTTTTGCCCTTTTGCCAGGGTCCAATCCGGCATCTTTGGTCATAGCGACTTGCTGAGAGCCACCCGCTTAGGGTTCGGGCAAGAGGCCTTGGCAGTAAGCCTTGAAAAGGCTCATGACCACATCTGCGGGATGTTGTGCTACGGTCCACAAGCTTTCAGCCTTCTCCGAAAAGCTTGCGATCGACGCGAGAGAGGCAGGGAATCAGAGAAATGGAAAGACCCCCTATAAACCATCCAACTGGTGGCTTCCTTTATTCGGGAATCCCAAAACGGTTCAGTCCTTTTTTCATTCCCTACCGATTTCGCACCAGCAAGTGAAATCGAACCCTTTTCAGGTTGGCTTGAAGGGAAAACCAAAAGGTCCCCTATTTTGACACATACCTCTGTTGCCCTGTGGTGCCCTTTTTCCCTTTTTTTGGGGCAAGGGTTCCCCTTCAAACTCCATGCACCAACCAAAACAGGGTGCCCTTTTTCCCCATGGAGCATTTCCACCGGGCATCTGAGATGCCCAAAACCGAGCCCTACCCCAAAACCGGTCTCCAGACCCGACCGACCCCCCGGCCCGCTTTCAGGCGCCGGAGCTGGCGGAGCTGGCGCGGCCCCTGGCGGCGGAGATGGCGTTGAGGCTGCTGAAGGGCAGCCCAGCGCCTCGATGGGTTGGGGGTTGGGGGGAGGGAGGGGGTTGGGGGGGGGGGTGGGGGTTGGGGGGTTTGGGTTTTTTTTTGGGGGGTGGTGGGGGGGAGGGGTGGGGGGGGGTGGTGGGGGGGAGGGGTGGGGGGGGTTGGGGTTGGGGGGGGGTTGGGGGGGTTGGGGAGGGAGGGGGGGCGGGCAGCTTTTTTCGGCTTTTTGGGGGGATTGGGAGCCCCCAGCAAACTTGGGAATGTAGAATGGGGTACTTTCCCCATTCTTTCCAGGGATCCTTCTTTCTAGAAAACCTCAGGAAACCCAGGGAAAACGGCCAGATTTTGGAAAGAACGATGGTTGAAAAGAATGGGGAATCAACCAGTAGAAATGTGGGAATGAGCCCTTTAAAGGAAACCACCAGTTGGATGGTGTATTTTGGGGTCAGTGTTGGCAGGGAAGCCGGCTTTTCGGGGGATTGGGAGATAGGAAACTTGCTTCCATTTGCTGAAATGAATATATTTTGTGTTGTATTTCCCTCTGTTGGTTTTAGAGGGAATGTATCACTACTGAGATTTCTTTTATTTTTTCCCAGGGGACTTAAGCAAATGGAGGAAACGTGGGAATGAACCCTCTTAAAGGAAAGCACCAGTTGGATGGTTTATAGGGGTCACTGCAAAATCGGTAGGAAAAATGGAATGAACCCAGTTGCTTTGGTCCCCGAATAAAGGAAACCACCAGTTGGATGGTGTATAGGGGGCATGCCCTGAGCACCAGCAAGAAACTGGCGATGAATTTCAAGGGGACCACCTCAAAAGTGGTTGGTGGACCTTTGTATGGCCGAGTTCTGATGTCCCTAATTTGGATTCATCCTCAAATGGGCGGGCTCTTCTTTGGTTTTCCTTGTGGACAGGGTTATATCGCAAAACAGAGAGAGAGAGAGAGATGTCACGTTTTTGGTACTCGTTTTAGGGTGGTTTGAGAAGGAAGCAAAGGCAAAAAAGCTTTTTTTTGGGGGTCCATATGCTGAGACACACCCTGACTGATCAAGCAAAGAAGGATTCTTGAACGAGTTTGTGCCAGAAAAGGGATTGGGATTTGCCCCCGCCCCCATGAAGGGACAAGCCCAAGTGTTTCACTCTGAGGAAACGCTCGCGGTAGCCATCGCCGCAGCGGCGAATGCTGGAGCACTCACGGAGGACTGTCTGTGAAGGGCTGCAGAACCCCCGGGAAGCATTGCTAAGAGAACTCTGGCCCTGCCAAATTAAATTCAAAGTTTTGGCCATCATTTAATGTGGTCAACCTTCCGCCCAGATGTATGGGTATTTGTCAAAATCGGGATGTGGACCCAAAAGTGACGGTTTCCTTTTGGCATGTCCTTCTAACCAAGGAGAAACAGGGACACCCGCATGAGCCAAGTCTCCTGGTCCGCATTTCAGATGCGGCCCAGGGCACGCTGCTCGACGCTCTCAGCGCCATGGAAAGCACTCAGAAGGCTGGGAGCCGAAAGTAGGGTGTGTCTCAAAAAGAGCCAGCAACCAAAAAAGTGCCCTCGAAAAAGAGACCCATGTTAGGTTTGGCAATTTGTTCGGTAGTTTATGGTCAACTTGAGATGGGGGGTGTCTCTACATTTCCCATGTCCCCGTGGGGGAACCAGTGATTTTAATTGTGGCTCGTGGCTCATGTGTTCATCCACGTCAAGACCTAGAGGTAGAGTAGACTGTAGACTGCACAGGATAATGAAAAGCATCACTGAAGCCACAGGTTTTCAGGCCTGGAGATGTCTCAGGCACATCTCAAACCAGGATTCTATGTGTGGCTACACCCAGCAATGACCTAAAAGTAAGGATTGGCTCTGCTTTCAGGGAATCAACAGCCATATTGAAGTCACTTAGGCCAGCTAGCAGTGGAACCATGCCAAGAGTCGAGTCTCCAAGTTCCGCCTCGCGTGACAGGAGGCCGTGCAGCAAAGATTTCCTGAGGACGGGGCATTGACTGTTTTCGTTCCGCGGCATTCTGCAAGCCGGCGGACTTGTCCGCGGCATTCTGCAAGCCGGCGGGCTTGTCGGGGGTTTCCATTTGAACCCCTCACAAAGGATAGCCTCTTTCTTGCCGGCAGGGCAAGGTGAACCTGGGGTCGGTTCTTGCGCCTTGCTTTGGTTGGTGAGTGTGAAGCAAGGAATTCGGGTGGACGAATATGTGGACGTGGCTTCAAAGGAAAACCAAAAGACACCCAACCATTTGGGTTTCTCTTTTTTAGGCGGCCTCCTTTTTGAGAGACCTCTCCCAAAAATGGGCCCTTTTCCTGGTGTCCCTTTCAAGCCACAAAAAGAGGTTGCCCTCAGCAAAAGACGGACCCATTTTGGGCTGAGGAGACCAACCAGCGACTCTGGATCGTGGAGGCCGCAAGTTCGCGGGGAGTGGCAGGAGGAGTGGGCCCCTCTCATGGCTTTTGGGTGATGTTTCTTCATGTGGCTGTGGCTCAAAAAACCGGCACCAAAATGGAACCCTGGTAAGTGGAAAAATGGACCAACACCTTTAATTTTGAGCCACACCCATGTGGCTGTGGTGGTCAAAACCGTTTTGGGATCCCATTTTGGTTGGTAGGTGAAAAAAAAAACACCCTTTGAGGCTTCCTATTTTTAAGATTTTAGTGGGGATTGAATCGGAGGTTCACTGGGGGTACGGGATCTTGACCCATGGCCATGTGAGCCAAGGTAAGGGAAAGTCGTAGCAAGAATTGGTTTGGTTCAATACTAGGTGATGATTGTGACTCATGTGGGTTTGGAAAGGCCTCAATTTTCAGGTGCTAAATGTGTTCGCTGCATGGGCCAGTCCGATTTATTTCGAGCAAAGTACTTTGTCAGGAGTCCGTGTTATGTGGTGTGTCCCAAATGTCTCTCTCTCTCTCTCTCTCTCTCTCTCGCTCTCTAATCACCAGCAGCTGCAACATACAAAAGTATTCGTGTCCAACAGGAATTGTCCTTGCCTGTTGCCTGGAGATTTGAAGGTCGGGAAGGATGCATCCTGACCAGCATTCCTTGCAGGATCGGTTGGAAGGGCCAATTGGTAAACTACCTTTACATGGCATGTGTGCTAGCAGTCATGACTTTCCAGCAATAGATGCATGACACAAAGTCAACATTATGGGGGTTGATTCCCCATTCTTTTTGACCATCGTTCATTTCAATAACCAGCTGTTTGTGCAAGTTTTGTTTTTGTGGTTTTCTGGAAAAGAAGGATCCGTGGAATTGGGAAGCTACCCCTAGAAACATACGCGCCACCAATCTTCTGAAGACTCAGAATGGAGCTCGTTGCCCAAACAATGAGCGTAGGACGAGGCTTCACGGCATATCGTGCTGATTCTCAGCAGCTGGTTCTACCTGGCTTGACGAAGATTGTATTCGTTCTATAATGACATGAACCTTCACAAACATAGGGTACCTGTGAGTCTTTTGGTTTGGGCCCAAACCAAAAGCAGAAATCACCTGGGGTCCTTGTACTTTCACACATGCCACACATGCCTAGAAACCTCACCTCGAACATGGTTTAAACCAGAAGGAAAATCAAAGACACAAACCACGGCATTCTTAGGGGGTCCCTCTACTAGGTCCCCCAGTAGTGCCCTTTTACCCCTTTTTGGGGGAGGGTTCCCTACTAAAATAGACTACAGGACAAAGTCTAACCTCTCTGCTGGAGGACCTAGTAAACGAGATGGGAATGGGCTTGTTTCGCGGAGAACAGCCGGCCCTTTTCCAGTTAAAGGCAAGAACGCTTGAGGCAAAAACGAGATTCCATGGGGGAGTGATCCCTGGCATTCTTAGGGGGTCCCTCTATGTAGTCGAGACACGGCCGCGGCTGCGGCATTTCGCCGCAGGCTGCCTGGCCGGTGATCGAGGAGCTTGGGCTTTGGCCCGCGGAGGAGGACGACAGCGAGGCAGCGGAGAAGCGGAGAGCGGCGCCGCGGCCGCGGTCAGTCGGCGTCTGGTTTGACTTCTGGGGCTGCTTCCCCTTGGTGGCTCCCAGCCATCCGGTTCCTTAACTTTTTAGCCTTTTAGTGTTTAGGGTTACTCTGGCCTCATGATTTTACCATGATCAAAGTCACCCGCTAAGTAGTGGGGTAAAGGGAACCAACCTCATTTTCTGACTTTGATAAACCCCAGAAACAGTCAAAATAATGACCCCAGTTGCTTCCCCATGGTGTCTGGGTGAATTATAGCGACCTCACACGACATCACCCCAAATGGTGGTTTATGTGGGGAATGGCCCCCCAACCACCTTATTTCAGGCTGGTGAAATATTGTAATTCACCCAGATGGTGTCGCCTAGAAGCCCTGGGGTTGATTTGAGGGTAAGCCGGTACACCGGCAAATCTGCACCTCATGGGCTGGAGGGGAAGACGTTGCGCATCACCGAACTACCGCTAGAAATGGGTTTCTTTGGGTTCCATGTTCATCTGCAGGGGTCTGAGTCTTCTTTGGGACGATCGAAAAGCAGAACCCTGAGTTGTGGGAATGAGGGGTTGGTTGGTGACTCTAATATGTTTTTTGCTATCCCCAAACCACTCCCCCACTCATAGCCACTCTCTGCTCCGGGAGAGATTGCTTCCCACTCTGCACGGGAAGCTCCCACTGATCGGCAGATCGGACGAAAGCTCTGCGGCTTCGGCTTCCCAGAAACCGATGTTCCGTTTTCGGAGCCCTGCTTTCAGGTGGACCGGGGGTGGCTAAACCCAGGTGATTCAAACATCGGTGAGTCGACATGGGTGGCACTCCTTTTAACTTTTGGTGTTTACATTATAGAAGAAAGAGCGCCACATATGTCTGATGTCTGAAAGGTCTATTTCCAATGAACACATCATACCCGGTGGTTTGATCCACGAAATTGTTTCAAAAAGCCAGCCCCTCCCTGATCAGTCGCCTTTTTTCTGAAAGAGGCCTCCTGGCTGGAAGTTGCCACAAGAGCATGGCAGATTTTTACGGCACTCCCCCCAAAAAAGGGGAAGCGACCGAAAATCCGGGGATTCCCATCCCCTTCAAAAGGGACTTGGGGCCCCACTCCCCTCCCCAGGAACTTCGGGGATTTTGGGGCTCGGTCGGTCAGACGTCCAAGGACATCGAGGCCATTGCAAAGTTGACTCCGGAGGTGGAGGGCTTCAATTCCGTGCTGCCAGGCCTGAGCCTTGGTCACCGGCCGAAGAGTCCCCAAGTCATGTCCTCTGGCTAAAATATTCGGCAGAAATGTTTCGCAGAAATGGTTGGCGGAAATGGCTGGCAGTGATTCAGGCCCTCTCTTCTGGCTTTGCGGGCAAAACAAGTCGCAATTGGCACGGGAAAAAAATGGAGAAACAACAACACGCAGCTGGCACCGAAAGCAAGCAGAGGTGGCGTGGACGAGGCGAAGGAGAACTGGGGGGATGACTGGGAGGCCGAGCAGCAGCAGGTGGGACAGGTTGAAGCCATAGGGGTGGGTCTCAAAGTGTGAGACATGCCCTGGTTTACAGCGAGACCCTAACTTGGGGGTTCCCAGCCATCCCCTTAGCATTCAAGACGTTTAGGGTTTCGTGGGGGTGTCCATCTGAAAGTTAAACTAGCAGGGGATCTGAGGACAGCCCAGCGAAGGAGAAGCCAACCATTTTTTAACGCCTTCTGACTTGAGACTTGAGACTGCGCAGGCTGAGGCGGCTCAGACCAAGGCAGACAAGCAGCTTGGCACGTTCTGCGGCTATGGTTTCTGCAAGCGCTCGGGAGCTGAATGAACGCCGATGGTCGAATCGTGAAACCGCCTGTTGCCAAGCCGCAAGTCATATTGTTGTGGATGTTGCTAACTTGTAGTGCTGGTGTTGCTGCTGGTGCTGCCGCAGTGGTGGTGTTCTTGCTGCTGCTGCTGGTGCTTCTGGTGCTTCTTGCGTGCGACCGCAGTGATTTCAGGCCGTGCTCAATGCCGATCACCTTGGGAGCGCTGGGAGTGCCTTTGCCAGGACCACAAAGCTTAGGCGCCGGCCGAGGGGGGTTTGCGTGATGGCATTGATTTCAGAAGTGTTCCAAGACAAGCCTCTCTTACAATGTTGATCCCAACACGAATTGCATATATTCATTCTGATATTGTACCAATTATAATCATGCCAATAAATCATATTAAATATATGGTTTACGATATAAACAAACTTAATCGTTGCTTCTTTCCCACTAATTATATCATATTAAACATATATATATATATATATATTTATATATATATATTATATTTGTTATACACTTGCTTTGATTATTTTAATATATCAATCTCCCAATGTATCTAAAGGCTCTTCCGGGAAGGGCTGCCAGACAAAGGACCCCGCAGGAAGGGCCGTTCTGTTTTCAATGCTTTTCGGGTCTTGTGGGAGCCCACTCAATCCTATCCGGTTTGGTGGAATTCAAGCTGAAAGACTGTTTCTCACTTCGCCTACCGAAATGCACTCAACTGCCGCTTTCTGCTCCCTGCGACTTAAGCGCAAATGCGAAGCTCGAATCACCGTGTACTTAACAGTGTTGCTAGCTATTTTGCGTGTGTCAAACTGGCCACATAGTGGTGCTCATTGCAGTGGCTTTCATTCAGACAAAGCAAGGCCCATGCAGTCCAGACAATGAAATTGAAATCATAGAACCCGCCATTCACGCCAAATCACGCCAATTTCACGCTCTGGAGGGTCCTTTCACGCGCTCAGATGTCCTTCCCACGCTAATTCACGCGGAATTCTTGCTCGCCGATTTGACAACTTGATTTGTCCAAACCACGTCATTGCCATTGTAAGATGCAACAGATGATGCCCTTGTCTTTGCGTTTCTCCTATTAGTCCTGTGTGCCGGAGTAGTGTCCTAATTAGGACCTTCATTTTTGCGCCTTGCCCCAAGTGCCTGGATTCGAGCGCAGGCCTCAAACCTCATTGTCATCTAAACTTTCCAAGGAGTCAATTGCACAGTTCATGAAACGCATCATTTCCGCCGACTTGGCAAGCCTGCATGGCATGGCCAGCAAAGCATGCACGCACACACCTCCCAGGAGGTCCTTTGTAAAGGACCTTGCTGGGAGGGCCGTTGAGAGACTGGGATCTGTAAATTAAGCCAAAATGGAGTAGAATGTCTTCACATATTTCCATGTTAGTTAGATAAGAGCATTTACATTAAATGCCTTTTTAGCTACTGTTCAGAATGCTCATGGATCAATACAATTCTCTAAAACACCGCCATTCACTTTAAAATATTTACCTCATGAGCTAACATATATATATATATATATATTGTCTCATCTTAATTTCATAATTGTGTGACAATGATTACGTTTAGGGATCTTCCTCAGAGTGCCCCCCCAAATGATCGAGCAGGGGTTTGTTAAGCCCAGTGCTAAAGGGGGGGATTAGGGGCATAATAAGGGCTTATTTGGGCTCCCCCCCCCCTCTCCTCCCTCCCCAGCCCCCATGATATAAGCATAGATCCACCCGACAGGCAGTCGCTCCCAGCTCTTTGCGCATCTTTGCAGCAGCCCCTCCGAGCTCCACTGCTCGCTGGACGGGCGTCTGTGCACCGAGCCGCCTGGCCAACCGCTAGGGTGACTTGTGAGGCAGCTCGAGGTGAGACATGGCCATGGGTATCCAAATCGTACCCCCAGTGCACTAAAATAGAGTAAAAAGGGTGGTGCACCCACCCCATGGTGTTGACCCACAGCCACATCTCCCCCAAAGGAGCAACAGTGAGGTGCACCTCAAGCTCGCGGACTGGAAAAACACAATCCAACATGTCAACTTTTTAAATTTGCCTCTTTCAATGTTGTGTTGCAAGCTCGAACCTGCCTTGCACGATTCTATTTCACTCAAGCTTCGGTGCGTGCTTGTGACTGGAAAAACACAATCCAAAACATGTCAGTTCTTGAGATTTGCCTCTTTCAATGTCGTATTGCTGCCTTGCACGACAGACATTTCACTCCAGCTTGGTGCCTTGTGTCTAGCTGGAGGCCTGTCCTGGCAGCTCCAGGTGGGGAACTGTTGGATGCTCCTTGGCTGGACGGCTGGACGAGAGCAGATGGCTGTGGTCAAAACCGTTTTGGGATCTCATTTTGGTTGGGATTGGTGAATCCACCACCCATTTTAGGCTTCCTATTTTCGTTTTTTTGGATTGAATCGGATGTTCCCTGGGGCTAACCGATTTGGCTTTTGAAAAGCCCATGGCCACATGTACCAGCGCTTGCAGTTGCGCGAGTATGTGTCGTTGCATGGCGTGCGTGGGCTTGTGGTTCAGGTTCTCTTTCAACGCTCCAGCATCCTTTGCTGGTTGAGCCAGCGGCAAGTTTGCCCTGTGACTGGCGTGGCTCTGCACGCAGAAGATTTACTGCCTGCAGTGGCGACCTGGATGAAAATGTGGCCGGGATGAACAGTAGTGTCCACTGGTTCGAAGTTCTGATTGGGCCAGTTGGGAAGGAAGGAGGCGAGGCAAGCCTGTTGCACCGCCATTGAGGACCGCTGTGCTGCCTTACTCCTTTGGGCTGCTCGCCAGTGAGCAACCAACCCAAATTCGTAGCTAGGCCCTGACTTTCGCAGACTGGCAGCATGCTCTCAAGGAGCTGCAGTCCCAGCAATTCCAGCGACGAGAGCCCAGAGCATTCGAAAACGTTTTCGAAATGTCCGCAAACTCTGACTGTGCCATGGGCATTTCTCCGAAGCGCAGGTGGCCAGCAGTTTTTTCTCGGTCGTTTCGCTCTGCAGGATCCGCTCTGGATGCCTGAAGACCGCGTTTACGTCCGTGTGTCGTCGTTGCCATCTTAGAGCCCCAGGGGAGGGGGGCACAACCACAGAACAGAAGCTTGTCCTCGCTGTGGACAAACCCGCTTGCGGACGAATTTGGCAACATGCTTGCTGACGACTTGTTGGGGCA